AAAAAATTTAACATTTGATCAAGAATATTTTTTCAAAAATTTTACTAAGTGTAGGCAGTACAGAAACAGGTCTAAAATTAGCGGGGTCCAATGTACTACCAGATTTAAATAAAGGTATTACTTAAGTATGCTTCATTAAATCAGGAAACACACCAGATTCGATACTAGTATTAAAAATAATAGATAGTTGAGGTGCGATTGTATCTATTATAGACGCAATCGCTTTTACAGAAATCCCCCACAGATCGCCGGTTTTCTTAATATCAACAGTCTTAATATATTTGACAATATCTTATGATGACACTTTATAAAATGTAAAATTCTTTGTACATGCATTTACATTTTGTTTAAGTAATGATTCGGCGACGGCAGGAGAAGAATTCAGTGACTTAGTGGTTAATATAGGAATATCAGTAAAATATTTCTCGAAAACCATTGCAACGTCCTGATGTGATTCAGTTAATTTAATTTTTAAAACTTAACTGATAGTTTAAATTGCGAGAGTTGACCCTACCAGTTTCACTATTAATTATACTTCATGTCATTTCAATTTTATTAGAAGCAGTCTTTATTTTGTTGCTCAAATACAATGACTTGGCTATGGAGCACACTCTTTTAAATATTTTGGAATATTTTTTTACATATTCCCTGAATTCGTCGCTAGGATTATATGACCTTTGATTGTAAAGTTCATGTAACCTTTGTCTACTCTTATGGAGCCCTACTGTCGCCCATTCATTAAATGTCTCGTGTTTGGTCATGAAAAAAGTAAAATTATTATCATTTTAAAATTATTTAAAATTATTCATTGAAAATAAGCTTAAATAATGTCCCATACAAAAAATCTGTATTATTTTAGTATGATAGAGATGGAAGTTTTTTTTACTATGTTACTTCTAAGCTTCTCCAAGCGACGTGCATCTACAGAAACAAACACAATTTTTTCATCTATTTGCTTTTTGAGAACATAAGGTAACGAAACTAATTGTCCACAGTGATCAGAGCTCAATTTTTGAATTACACACTTATTGAACGGCTTAAAATTTGTAAAAATGTTATCTATACATGTTGCACTAGATTCAGCAATACGCGTTGGCTCCAAAAATAAATTAAAATAAATGAATAAACAATAATCTAAATTTAATATTGACGGAGGAAGCTTCTAGGAGATTGATATTAAAGTCTCCACATATTAAAACAGATTTATTCTGTTTATTAAGCTTAATAAAACTTCTTCCATAATTTTTTCAAATGTATCTTATAAAGACCTGTAAACGCTCATAACAATGAGGTGCTCAAACTCAACATATGCCATTTCTACAGTTCGCTCAACAGAGAGGCTCAAAATATCTTTACGTTCTTTATATGATAATAATTTACTAGCTAAAATTAAGGAGCCACCTCTTAAAACCGTTTCTCTATTGAAATAACTGACCACCTGGTGATTACTGAAGGTAAACATTAAATTATGAGCTTTTAACCAATGTTCAGTAATACATAAAATATGTATATTGTTGCTATTTAAGCAATACAACTAAAATATACAATTCAATTGCTAGCTCTTTGCCTAAAATGCGTTGTATATTCTGATTCACCAGGTGTAAACAATTTTTATTAAAAATTGTATAAATTCATTAAGGATTTTTAAGGTAGTAGTAAAAATTGTTACGTTACATGCTATGGAGTTTATAGATAAGGGGAAAAGACTGTGTTTTAAAAGGTGTTTGTAGAAAAGCGTAAAATAAGGGTGGCGCTTCTTTAGATAGAGGGTAAATTTTAAAGAACTTTTTATAACATTTCATTGCAGAGATTCATCATAATTCTTTTAATAAAAATTATTTTATACTTTTAAAAGAATTATTTTCAAAATAACTCCCAACGTGTTTTACAACGAATTTTTCTAGCTTTTATTTACTAAATTATTATAGGCCACATGAGTAGTTGTTTTAAACACTGCAGTTTCATCAACTACTTTAGTCACAATAAATATTGAATTCCTCAACTCAGCACATTTCACTCCATTGATAACTGTTATGTTCATTTCATACCCTCTAGCTACTCCAGCGGCGTTGTGAAGAGTTTTTGAACTGTTATTTACTGCTTACAGATGGACACTTTTTCAACTATTCTCCTATGTGAGATGGTTGTCCTTCTCTACGCTCTACATATATATTTTCCAAATTTATGGTGTGTAGAAGTAAGGAGTAAACTCTTATAAAGAAGTTTAGGAGCTAGTACTACAGTCTAAATTTTAAAGAAGTTTTTTTTTTTTTAACTTTCAATATCTTTTTTTTTTTATTATAGAAAGGTATCTTAGTATGAGGTGTTCCGGTTACTGTTACAGATGGACACATTTTTAACTATTCTCCTATGGGAGTTTTTTTTGCGCCCGAAGCAGATGAGGGCAACCCTCTGGTAACAGGGGAGGGTAAGAGGGGTGGAGATTGCTCATAGCATACCACGCAGCCGGCTGCGTGGTTATGTGGAGACTTTTACCCACTAAACTCCACCTTTTGGGATTGGCTTACTGATCTGACAAGAGATCTTTAAGCCGTAAACGGACGCGAACCTCCTTGGCAGAAAGGAGGCCGCAAGCGGCGAATAGCCGCTTAGAAGGTATGGGAGATTGTCTTCCTTACCTTTATACTCAATGCGCAAATTTTTAAAAGTATCGATACCTACTCGATGCCAAGTATCGAATAAAAAGTATCGATACCAATAAAAGTATCGATTCAAAAGTATCGATACTACTTGGTATCGAGTAATATTTATAAAATATTGGGAATCACAAGAAAATACACAATAATTATTAAATTTTATATTCATTCAAAATTATGCTACAAAATATAGGAACTAACAACTAATTACTGAACTCCCAATCTTGTACATCGCAATCTGACATAAAAAGTAGTTTATGAAATAATTACTGTTTTTAAAACAGTACATGAATATAAAATGTATTTTATTTGGATCATGCTCTTTTAATCTGATCGTTTTCTTTTAAGAATCATCTGAAAAATTTTAATAGAATAGCAAAACAAATGACTAACCAGATAATGTTAATACTTTCTCATAGATTCTTATAGGTTGCGTTATTTTCTATTTAATACATATTAGTATAAACATGATCATCTCTACGTCATCATAAATTATTTAACCGATAAATTCTCATGAAAACCAATATGAACTCATTAGTATTCTTTTTACCGAAACAATAAGTCTGCCAAAATTTGTATAGTTTTCCATGGGATTATGATAAGAAAAATGAAAAAAAGGTAAAATGAAAAATCACCAATTCCGACTTATGTATAATATACTGATACAACCTCATTCACTCCATCGGTAAATTCTAGTATCGCAATTCTGGATCATAATTAATTGGGAATACTTATACAATCCGATTTGTTGTTAGTGTACCAGTTCAAAATCCAATGTTCTTTCCACACAGTTTCTAACTTGGCAGTGCCAGTTGGTAGGTATATTTTTTTTGCAGAACTATTTTGGCAGCTTTCAAATGTGGAGTCATAACAACCGGGTTTGATTGTAAGTCCCAGTTCCTAGCAAAATATTTGTTTCAATTTTTTTTATAAGAAAGGGTGACAAATAAGCACACAGTCCACGTGATGGTAAGTGGTTGCTGTGGCCCATAGACATGTTCATCTTAGGGAAATTGATACAGGTGATGGGCATCGTCCTGATAACAACTCAAAAAAAACTGCAGTTGACAGTTTTTTTTTTTTTGCGGATGGAAAATCATCTAATGACCCCTTTCGCTCTGGGTGGAGCGTAAGGGGTTAATGCCTCCTTATCGCCATTTCAGATTTTCACAAAGATTTAAATTTTTGTCGATGCCGTTTTGTCGTTCATATACCAGATCGAAATCCAATGAATCCATTATTATTATTTTTCAATCTGTAAGTATCCGGAATTACTGTTTCAAAAACACTATAATATATCATAACTTCCAATCAAACATCGTATTTTATTTGGATCTATGAGGCTATTTCCACAGGGTATTTATTTTCATCAGAACACACCCAATTCATCTTATCAATTTCTTTAATTTTACTAACCTCTTTTTTTAAGTTTTACTGTGAGACTTCATAACTTTAAAACTAATTTAACATTTAGTTGAATTTTGCTCAATTTTCCTAAAATATTTCTACACATCACTTTATCCTCTGCCAGAAGGTGACATTCTAAAGAAGCAAATTAAGCAGAGCACCGGAGTTAGTAGTTTAAAAACAATAATTTCACTTTTATAAACTTGTTCATTTTAACGACGACACCAATCAGTCAATATTGTCATTAAATAATAACAAATATTTATAAATTTCTTAACAAAAATAGTCTTCTACTCTAATTATTAATGACTGATAAGTAGACTTTACTTAAACAACACACATACACATATTAAAAACATTTAAATCCAAATATCTTGCGTTATCATTCCATTATATTTAATATTATTTGATCAAAATTACGAGCTAATAAATATATTGTTTACCCGGCCACACATGTATTATTCCAACCATAATAGGGTTTTTTCCCGAAATCCTCACTCCAACGAGAGGTACGATACTATACAATGGAAAAGGAAGTACTATTTACTGACTTTTGTTTGACAGTTTAGTAAACAGATAAAAGTGTCGAGTAACTAAGAAAGTATCGATACTTAGTAAAATACTCTAATAAAAGTATCGAGTACAAAATACTCGGTATCGAACTAAAAGTATCGATACTACTCAGGTACTCGATACTTTTGCGGATCTCACAGTCATACTCATAACTCATATCAGTCTATCCTGGTCTATCCACTAGTTAATCTGTGGTTGACGTTTCTTGTCCGCTTGGAAGATAGGATTACTGCATTGAAATCTATTGATTTTTATTTATCCATTACCATCGGTTTCGTCGCTGCCGAGGTCTGGCCGCAGACTGTCGCGACGGAGCCCTGCAGTTAATTGATTTTGTGTAGTGTTAAAGAAAAAGCACCTAAAATGGGGTCGTTGTTTAGAAGTGAAGAAATGACTTTATGTCAACTTTTTCTGCAAAGTGAAGCAGCATATGCCTGCGTGTCCGAGCTCGGTGAATTAGGACTTGTCCAGTTTCGTGATGTGAGTATATAGTACGACTTATAACGCCCCTAATTGCTGGTTGGAATAAGCAAATTTGTGATACCTATTCACATTGAAATATGTCTAAATTTTAAGAGCCTGCAGTCTCAAAAAAATGCTCTATTTAATAACGGGATGTCCGACACTAGAATATTGATTTTTTTTTTGCACCTTTAATATTACTTACATCTTATAATGACTTTGGTATCATGTTTATTGGTTCAAAGAAAGTATTTTGTGTAGTCATGATAGTAATTTTTCCTTACTTTAATGGTTTGAATTTTAAGAGCATTTAATGTAATATTATATAAAATAACTAATAATTTAATAACCAATCTATTAAATTTGTATCCACTAAAGATAAATTTGGGAAATTTTTGGAACACAAAAATATGAAAATATTATGAATTGTCAACTATGGTATCTACCAACTGGTAAAGAAGGTTACTTACAAGTTTTTAAAGTTATACATTTTATTAGGATTATAAATTTACCGTAAAGTTGGGCAAAGGGTCATACAAAAATATGAAAAAAATCAGATGTTTGCTCTTTTTGTTTAAGAATCTGTATAGGCCTTACCTATTTTTGCTATTAAGAATCATTGCAACTGCTAATATGTTCTTGAGCCTATATAATTACAGGCTGTGAAGCATAGCACCTTAATCTTAAGAGGGTAAAGAGCATGTAACATGACAATTAAAGGTAAAACATGTAACAAAGGCAGTTAAAATGCATCAGTGTATTTATTGTTATCATAGAAATAAACTGATTTTTTTTTAATAAAATTGTACAGTAGTATTTTTTCTGTTTTGTCTGCATACAAAAAAATTGCAGATGAACCAAATAAATTGAAATGGCCATATAAATACTTTATCCACATAGGATTCATATCTGTTGCACCCAAGCACTGCAGTCAAATTATTATGTCATGCAATTAATTTTTTTAGACACTGAAGTGACAAATCAACTTACAGTTTGTCCATGTGTTCGTCTGTAAGTGGCATCTGTAGTCTATGGACACCTTTTTTTATAGGATGAGGGTGACAAACAAGCACACAGTCCACCTGATGGTAAGTGGTTGCTGTGGTCCATAGACAATTACATTTAACCTTGATCAAGAATCGAAATGCAGATGCATTGTCACCCCTGAGGACTAATATGGAATGCCTCGATTCCAGTAAAACGGGTTTCCGGTTCTCTACACTTACCATACGAAACACAGCAGCATTAAGCTGCTATTTTACGCTGGTATCCTGTGAACTCAATTGACTTCTAACAAAGAAGCCTATAGATGCATTTTCCCCTCTGAGTACTAAGATGGTATGCCTTACAGCATGTAATTATACTAGCCCTCTATAGCCTTCAGAACTAGATGTGGTAGCTCAGATGGTTAACACTAGCTGTTAATATAACAAAACGCAAGTAACCCGGGTTCTATCCCCGCCGGCACTAATGAAATTATTGATTGCAATTTTAACCCCTAAGGTACCGTGGACATGTTAACATGTCATACACCGTTGAGTACCCCGGACATGAATTCATGTCCGCATTACGTGCTGCTATTTTCGTCTTAATTGATATAAAAATACAGTATATTTTTAATTGAACACTATTTCATTCGATTCTGAATGAACTAAAGAATATTCTGAAGAATTATATTCACTCGGTTACATAGACAAAATCATATATAACAGCCACTCGCTTTTGCGCTGCTGTTGTGGTTAGTTGTGTAATCGTTGAAGTTTTGTGATTGTGATTTTAGTTGGATTTTTTTTTTCAAAAAACGGTAAGTAATGTTATTTATCTTTACTACGTAATGTTTTTGAATGATCTAAGTTACAACAACAGTAACTTTTTATGTTTTAATTGATAAAAAAGTAGAAATATAAAACCTCTACGCGAACAATTTATAACGGTCAAGATTTCTAATAAGATTCTAATAAAATAATAATAGTATATTTCTTATTGGAATACCATAGTAAATACTTTTACTAGGAATTGCTAAATGTTATATCTATATGATTGTATAAGAAAAATAAAGGAAGACGATATAAAATATATACACAAAAAGGTTTTGAAAATGAGTTTACAAAGCACGCGCAAACTGTCTATTGTCGAATTTTTAGCAAATGTTTGCAAGTGAAAAAGTAGAATTATTTAATTATTACATGCATAATTTCGGTTCATTTAGGAAGAATATGTTGTATTGATTGTAAGGACATAAAAATAAAATAAAAACTTACGATATTTCATTCATAAAACGAAATTTATTGTCAGTAAGTACACTTTATCAAGATCCCTTAGAAACAAAGAGCTGTACAAAATAAAATAAATATTTAAATGTTATGGTTATCCTTTCTACTTATCAAAATCTTATGGGCTTTAAATAACTGTAACTAAAACCTCTTTAAACATAAGGCTTTAAATAAGTGTAACTAAAACCTCTTTAAACATAAATGAAAGGTGGAGAGAAACATAAATATTTAAAACAAGTGCTGCCAGCTGAGGTGACAACAGAGGCCCCTGTACAAAGCTGTTTTTTGTTATGGGCGCAGTAAGGGAAAGGTTAAGTGCTTATTTACCACATGCTCGGCAGTGAAGGAAAACATCATGAGGAAACCTGCATGTCTGAGGAGTAAGGAAAAAAAATATTTCGAAGACATGTGAAGTTTGCCAACACGCATTGGGGCAGCGCGGCGGATACTTCTTTGCCCTAAAACCCTCTCAGAAATGGTGGGAGGCCTGTGCCCAGCAGTGGGGCGTATATAGGCTGTAACTTTACTTTTATAGCCTTCAGAACTATACAGCATAATTTGTTAGAGGGTGGTACTCACCACGGAGACTAAGGCACAAAAGGGATCCACTAAGTAGTTGTTAAAATAGAATTTAGCAGTACACTTAGTCATGTGATGCAGGCAATGATATTTAATTGTGATAAGTAACTTTAATGTCAATTTTCAACAGAGATAATAAATGTAATAAAAAGATAATACAGACCAATTAACTGCTTATAACTTACATAACATACGTATTGTTAACGTAATGTATTGTTTTGATTTTGTTACATAAGAAAAATAATGAAAATACTCTTACTTTGCAGCTATGCACACATACTGTAAGAATAGGTCTGCTAAACATTTTCATTCACAGTGTGCACTAATTTCAATATATATGCATAAATCAAACTACAAACAGATTTAATATACAGTGGAATCTCTATAACTCGAATGTCAAGGGAAATGCAAAAAAATTCAAGTTAACAAGTTTTCGACTTAACAAGAACTTCGAGATATATGATTTAACTGCTGAAAGTTCACTTACATAGGCGCGATTTCTAAGTATATTTTTCGATTTGTAGAGTCGAATTTGAATAACAATTCAACTTAAGTTTTATAGTATATATTTTTTACATATTAAAACAAATTACATATTAATGAAGTAAACTGTACACTAAAAAAATCCGTTATCTTCTTTTGATTTAAACTATTTGCAGATTTTTTATTGATAATTTTTTCAAGCTCAGCCAAAGTCAAAATAAATACTGATGGACAAGCTCTGCTAAAAGTAATCATGTCCTGTGTCGACAAGGAGCAAACATAACATTCACAGCTTTGTTACTTAGAAAGTTTTATGAATGTATTCATTCATTGCATATGTATGAGACAAAAATAATAAATTAGAAGCCCCCGACCCAAACTTTCATTTTGGATTTTATTGCCATTATTTCAGGGAATTCCAAATAAGATGTCATTATATATCGGAACTTTTTCATTGATCTCTTGCGTAAGTGTAAATTAGATTTTGAAAGCAATAAACTAATCGAAAATAAGAATAACCCACGAAAACTCTGGAAGTCAATTAAATATTTTTGTAATTTTTCCAACAGTAAAAATGATTCCACAGAATTATTAGACATGAAATGCTCTGATATAACACGTTCCCCACTTGACTTATGTAATAACTATTTCTCAACGGTAGGAGTAAACCAAGCGAATCAAACACTTAATAAAATTAATAAAACTGAGACAAATCTTGCCAGTAAAATACGAATCAATTGTAACCTCACAGAATCATTTTTCATGACTCCCACTGATCCCAAAGAAGTTAGTGCTATGATTATGGGATTACAGAATGACAGGGCTCCTGGTATGGATGGCTTAGCTAACTCTTTAATAAAACATATAAAAGATTCGATCATCCAGGCACTCACCTATATCTACAACCTAAGCCTAGAAAGCGGAGTTTTTCCATATGATTGGAAACTTGCATCTGTTTGTCCTATTTATAAGGGATGTGGCTCAAAGACAGCTATAGAAAATTATAGGCCTATCTCGCTATTAGGCGCTTTTTCAAAGCTACTTGAGAAGCTTGTAAACAAAAGGTTAACCGGATATTTGGAATCTCGACAGTTGATCTCGCCAGGACAATTCGGTTTTAGAAAAGGTCGATGTACTGAAGATGCTGTATCCCTTTTAACATCTACGATATCATCAATACTTGACTCTAAACAGAGCTGTGTTGGCGTTTTCTTAGACTTAGCCAAGGCCTTCGACACAGTGTCAATTCCAATACTTTTAAAAAAATTAAACTATATGGGTGTTAGAGGTATTGCCGGTGATTGGTTTCAGAGCTATCTCACGGACCGGAAACAGTGTGTGAGGATTGGTCGGGCTGTGAGTCTGCCACAAAATGTACCTTTTGGTGTACCGCAGGGCAGCATACTTGGTCCTACGTTATTCACAGTCTATATCAATGATATACATGACCTACCCATGGAAAACGCCGAAACGATATGTTACGCCGATGATACTGCTATCGTATTCCATGGCTCAATGTGGAACGATGCTTTGTACAGTGCTGAAAGAGGTCTAAAACAGGTCTTTATTTGGCTACAAAATAATCTCTTGACCCTAAATACCAAGAAGACTGTGTACTTATGCTTTCATAAGACAGCAGTCACTGCGCCAGTACAACAAACAGTGGTAAAGATTCATGAGCCTTCTTGCACAAGCAAATCGTGTGCCTGTGAGACCTTGAGTAGATCCGATGTAATTAAATATCTCGGTGTCCTCGTTGATGATAAACTGAAATTTGAAAATCACATAATAGCTCTCTCGGCTCGAGTCAGGAAGGTTATTGGTGTTGTAAAGCATCTGCGGGACATAACGGGCTTAAATACTCTAAGATCTGTGTATTTTGCGTTATGCCAGTCGCTTATAACTTACTGTATTACTTGCTGGGGAAGTGCAGCAAAAACTTTCCTGATCAGAGTTGAGAGAGCGCAACGTTCGGTTATAAAAGTAATGTTAAAAAAGCCGTATAGATATTCAACTTTTGATTTATATAAGGACAGTGGACTATTAAATGTAAGACAACTTTTCATATTGAAGACCTCCCTAACTGTTCATAAGTGTACACTGGCATCTCCAGAGTATAAGACATTGTTGAAACGAAGAGTATTCCGCTTGCCAACTCCCGCTATCAATTCTGCTTTTTCTAAACGTTTTGGGCAATTCGTGAGAACTCAAGTGTACAACTCCGTCCTCAAGTATTGCGATATAAAAGAAAAATCAGTGGTGGAAGCTAAAAGAACCATAACAAAATGGTTACTAACTTTGAGTTACGATAGTACAGAAAACCTAATTAAACCGTAATCTTTATCATATATTTACGTAAATAAAATATATGAATACAGTATGTAATATGCATATGTATCTATAGGAGTTCTAATGCATATATGTTTTATTAATTATTGTAATATTTGTGAATAACAGTATTTTCTTTACTAACAATATTATTTTACCTGTAATTACTTGTTTTTATACATATTAACTTAATATAAATATTTATTTCATTTTATATTTTATTTTAAAAACAAAAAGCTTACATAATGTAATAACCGTACGTCGACCCAGTGTCAATTAATGAAAGCCACGTGTGATAAGAAAATCGTATCAGGCCCTCACGACACAGGCATGCCTAGTGTGAGGACCACAGAACTATACACCCTTGTTTATACACTCCAGCTTAGTTGGTGTGATAAGATCATAGTTTATAATAATTGTATATTAGAGAATTAAGACTACTGTGCTTGCATTTTATTGTCTTATATTGTATATTGTGATCTGTACCACCTTAGCTGTAAATAAACATTTTTTCATTTTCATTTTCATTATATTTTACGAACTACGACTTACAGAGTCTCCTTTTTGAAATTCGAAATATAGAGTATAAATATGTATTATCAATACTTCGAAGGGAAATAACATTTTGTTCGAGTTACAAAGTCTAAATAATTCGAGATACAGGCATATTTAGGGGTTCAGCGGAAGGGAATGGCAATTTTTTTCCACTTACTGAGGATTTGGATTCCAGTTATAGAGATTCCACTGTATTTAAATTGTTTCTAATTTCATATTGTCTGTATTTCGTTTTGTTTTTTCATGAATAAAAATTCAAATATTATGATGTCACTTATAAAATTTTCAGTAAATCCAATTCTATTCTTAATATTCTTTTTACTCGGGAGTGACTGGGAAAATTTCAGAATCACTATCAAAACATATTTATGTATAATTTCTAGTTTAGTTATGTAACTAATGTGAAATAGAATTAGGCACCACTTATTACATTTGAAATGAAATTAATGGTTTTTATTTAATATAGATTATTGCATAATACTTAGTGACAGTCATTTTTAAAAAACTCATATTTATAATTTTTTAATACTTTGTCTATGTATATTGTCAATATTATATATATATATATATATATATGAGTATTGTCAATGCTTTAAGTGTTGCTGTGGCTTGTAAACATCTACATCTATCCTCGACTTAGGTGGAATGCCTCATTTCCAGTAAAAAGGGTCTCCGGTTCTCTACGCTCACCATACGAAACACAGCAGCATTAAGCCACTATTTGACGCTGGTATTCTGTGAGAGTTCATTCATTATAGCCTATCAAAATTCTAATGCTGAACATAGGTTTCGTGGAGGGAATATTTGGCATAATTACTTGGCAAGTGGGATAGCTATAGCAAAATTTTTATTGCACTGAGTTGTTATCAGGAAAATGTGGTTGTTTTATTCATTTAAGTTCAAATAATTTGTTACAGCCATTGAATTTGTGATCTCAATCCAGTATTACTGAGTTTAGCATTATTGAGTAAAGAGGATCAATATCTTGTTCCTAGTTATTCAGATAACATTGTACAGATTTGTATGTGATAGAGCCACGCTGTAGCTATATTATAGTTGTAGCACGAATGGGTCGGCTCTCCTGTAGCAGCTTAATGCTGCTGTGTTTCGTATGGTGAATGTAGAGAACCGGAGACCCTTTTTACTGGAATTAAGAGGATACCTTGAAAATGAATCGAAGTTTTGGGGGCGTGGCTTATTCCTTTGTCGGCGAAGCTAACGGACGACTGCGGGAGTGTCAAAATGAAAGTGATGCAATGACTTCATAGTACGTAAATTATGAGATAGCCATACCGAGCAAGCCCTTGGAAAAAAACTAAGTAAGCGCCAAACAGGATTTTTATTTATTTTAATAAAACTTCGTTATGGATTAAAAAATTGGTTTATGAGAACTTAGATATGATTATTTACTATGCCTTAAAAATAATTCCATGAAATTATTTGTAAGAATATTGTGGTGTCATCGAGAAATGTAAATAATTGGAGCCTACTTTGCAATTTTTTTCTATCGAGAAAATTACATGATATCATGTTTTCCTTTTATGCAATCCAAGGTCATATAGTCAAAAATCATATACCAACATTTTGGTTTGTAATCTATAAAACCTAAAAAAGTATGTTAAATAGAAAAACCACCAAATTTTCTTGGTATCACCTTAAGGCATTCCATCTTAGCTCTCAGGGGTGACAAAGCATTTGCATTTTGATGCTTAATTGAGGATAAATGTGAATGTCTAGGAGCCACAGCATCCACTTACCATCAGATGGACTGTGCTGTTTGTCACTCAATGCTATAAAAAAAGAAAAAGATCAGTAATAAGTTTCATTAATTAACTATTTTTAGATAAACAGTTTGGTTCAGTTCTAATTTAGTATATAGTATCTTACATTTAAATATTATCTATATAACGCTCTATCTGATCATACTGCGAAATCTTGCTTATAATTCAAAATTCAATGAATCCTACTGAAATGAGCAATGAATTATATTGATTGAATTAGAGAGAAAGAAAAAAAGTTATTAATAAATTAAGCGATTGAAAGACAATATTTGTAATATTACACACATATTATTATCATTTTTAAAAGTACCTACTAGCTGCCCAGGCAGATGTTGTTCTGCCATTTTCACTGATCCTTTGTAGCATATATAATAATTTCAATATTCACAATAAAAAATATCACTTATCGGAATAAAAACTATCCTATCTCTCAGCAATATCTTCTCTCTAATTATCTAATATTTCGGAGCTTAGTGTATTTCCACCACACTGTATCTTATGGCTTCCTATAGATGGCGGTGTAACCATCTCATCTACGCCAGACGTATAATACCATGAATGGCAACGCAGCATCCACTAAAGCGCCAAACGTCTAGTACGGCGTCAATCCCCTGCTAAGCGTGACGATTAAGGCAAATTGACGGCTCCATGGATCAGTGAGTTCGAATCCCGCACGGAACAAGTATTTGTATAGCCTACAAATAATTGTTGGATGTTTGTCTTTGTAAAATTTATGTTAGTAAATTGCCTCCAGGATACAGAAAAACATCCTAGTGTGGGATAAAGTATTTTTAAAAAAGAAAAAAATCTCCCTTCAAGAAGATAGGCAAGTGTTCAGTAATGGGTTTTTACGGGCTGACAACAAAGAAGGAGATAAGAAAATCTGCTATTGTAAAAACTAACAAAAACAAATATGGCGACTATATTTTTATTAGAATAGGGGCGACAAACGAGGAGCCATTCCACCTGATTGTAAGTGGATACTGTTGCCCATAGATATCCACATCTATCTTAATTAAGAATCAAAATGTAAATGCATTGTCACGCCTGAGGTCTAACGAGGACTAACTAGATGGAATGCCTCGTTTCCAGTAAAAAGAGTCTCCGGTTCTACACTCACCATACGAAACACAGTAGCATTAAGCTGTTATTTTACGTTGGGATTCTGTGAAAGCGTGGTCCTTCCCATGTCGAGACGACCCATTTGTACTACAAACTGTATGCAGCGAAACTCGACCACGAAAAGAACTACTTTAAGCATTTAGCTTTGGAAAACATATTTATAAGATGATACTTCTCGTATTAACCAGAGGATGCTATTATAACGGCAATTTTATTCATACAGTTAAATCCTGACGTAAATGCGTTCCAACGCAAGTTCGTCAATGAGGTCCGACGTTGTGACGAGATGGAGCGTAAGCTTCGTTACTTGGAGAAGGAGATCAGACGCGACGGCATTCCAATGCTGGAAATTCCCGGCGAGTGCCCGGAAGCCCCGCAGCCCAGGGAGATGATCGATCTTGAGGTAAGAATTGGAAACTTTATATCACATCACCTAGCGTAAGATTTCCATTTAACGTATAAGACTAATTATGAGATTATTTATTACACCATCTTATTCTGTCAGCATTAACATTGAATAATAAAAGCATTTGAAAATTCTGTGGCATTTGGCAGAACAACCATATCATGTTAATGTTATTAGTTTTTAAATAAAGTAAAAATAAATATGGATAAAAATCATAAAATCTCATCAGCAGTCAGTCTCCAAGTCCAAAGCTACATAAAGTTTTTCCTAAAACTGCACATCGGCTGGCAAATTACTTGTGAGATTGACCCATACTTAGCACGATCGACCGGGGGGTCGATAAGCATGGAACTGATGTCCTTTCTCTGGTGATGCAAACATCACCAGTATGTTCAATTTGTACACAGTGTTTTTTTGTTTTCTGTCATCCGCCAGTTGTCAGAGCTGCGTCCGTCAAGTGTCACCAGGGTACGCTTCGTCGGCCGTTGGTCTACGTCTAATTAAGCGCTATGTCCTGTATTATATAAATGTACGCTTTAGGGCCACCCAGGGGCCACCCCAGCTGCACCTTAACCTACTCCCGCCCCGCTGATATTACAAGATAGGTGCAATGTTGTATAAGATGCATCGGTTGAATATCATTCAAGCCGCTAGTTGAACGGCACCGTTTAAAAAAACTAACCGTGTAAAAAGCTAAAAAGGCTAGTCTGTACGCTGAAAGGCAATATAAAAATTAGACTTGTTGACTGCAACACAATAACAATAATGTTTCGTTTTCGTAGGCAACATTTGAGAAGTTAGAAAACGAACTGCGAGAAGTCAACCAGAATGCAGAAGCTCTCAAAAGGAACTATCTCGAGCTAACTGAACTAAAACATATTCTCAGAAAAACTCAAGTATTCTTCGATGAGGTAAGTGTTGAATTTTCAGAAACCTAAATCTAAAAAGAATTTTAGATAATCCGATTGTTACAGCATTTCTGTCGTTATCTCTTTCATAAATATCTTGGTCTGAATAGTTTCAGTTTCATCCAATGTCCAGATGCTTAAACTATAAAACTATTTCCCACCCTATTGTTATTTTCAGTCGTTTTATGAACAAATGTATAATCGACTCAAATTTTTTATAACTTTAAGCCCTTATTACTCCCTTCCTAATTACTTTGTGCATCATAATTAAATGTTTAACGAGAATATTAATCATTAAACTGTTCTCGACAAGATTCTCTATATACTTACAAATTTTGAATATTGTAAGTACTATCTTTTTAAAAGATACTTCCATGCATTAAGTGAGATTATAGAACAATAATTTTATTTCAATTTTATTCTCTATTATATCTTTATCCATTAGGAAGTCACATGATTTCAGATTTTAAATTATAAAACATACCTAGATCGGTCCGGTATTATTATTGTGCTTTTGCGTAACAGCTAAGTCGTAAATTAATCTGGTGATAAGATAATTTACGCCAGCCTTATCCTTGTGGTGCCGGGCACAAAAATTTTTGCCGATTATAAATTCTAGTGATTTATATTCCATAGTAAACTTTACACTTTTATTTCTCTGGCAGAATAATGATATGGTATTGTACATTGTCTTAGAGTACCATAAAATTGAATAGTTTTGTAGTATGGATGGTATGGATTATGCCAATAATCTAAGGAATTTTAGAATTTATAGTGATTGTCAAAGGCACGATGTATCATTAAATTTAGCCGAGACTAAACTGCTGTTGTAGAAAAAAATTAGCTCCACGAAGACCTTAAAATTCGTTTTACCTGTCTTGAATTGTTTTAATCATATATTTTTTTCGCCAGTGCGTCATTCAAAGTAAATAAAATGAGTTAGAAACACTTGCATCGATGTCTTTTGATTTACTCACACTTGTCTTATTTGTAAAATGTGGGTCTTCTCTTGATCAAAGTCCTTCATATTATGCTTCATGATGAAAGACATTAAAATAGGGTTATTTTATTTTATTTTTTATTGTGTTTATGAAAATTGCGCCAATACCAATGTCACATTTATTTAAAATTATTGAATATTTTGTGCTTTGAAAGAAAGTTGCGGAAAAATGTGACATTGACATTGGATGCGTTACTTACATTGACGCCTTGTTGGCGTATGTGTGCACAAGATGGCGGACCCGTCGCGGGAAGAGGAACAAGTGACCCTACTGGGGGAGGAGGGCCTCATGGCGGGAGGGCAAGCGCTCAAGTTGGGGTATGCAGATTAACTTTGATCACTCTCTGACGTGCCTTGACTCCTTCTTAGCCTCTTCTGAAAGGATTTAGGAAGTTTTTGTGCGAGTCAGAGCAAGTCCTAGAGCAGTATTATTTTTTCAGCGCTTGTACTGTGACGCTGATGAAGGAGTCTACCTCTCACCACTCAGGCAAGCATTGGAGACAGCCGGTTTATAGTACATCATCATAATAACACGTCTCTTTAACTCCTTGTGTGATGGAATGATAGAGTAGCGTAGCAATATTATACACGTTTTTAGTTTGATATTTCTAATACGATTTTTATTTGTCGAGTTCCAATTCCGAGCTCCTGTGAAGATTGCTAACCAACTGCTGCCTGAGTGAGTTTGACGACTAACCAACGTTTTCCGCGAACATAATTTATTTTTGAAGTCCATTCAATCGCGGTCCCCGTTCCGAGAGGAACAAAGATGATCGCAGTATTATTTTGTGTTATCATATTGTCATGCTTTTCGTACCGTTGTCATGTTTGCATGCAATTATGAGATCAGTAGGTATGTAGAATTGTCTCACGAGAGGATTCTTTGACGAGTGAAGACTTGTTAGTTATATGCAACAAACAGACACTATTTAAAAACACACATGCGAGTAGTATAAGACTAACAATGCAAGATATGCTTATTGGAATTTGTTAAGTAGTTATAATTTATTTTAAGCACAAATAGTTACGCGTTGGCGCTACTTTTTTACTACAACAAGCATTATTATAGATATTGAGCCTCCGATGGGTGTTCCGTGTATGCGCGGGTTCCGCTTTAGCATTGTGCCGTCCACAGGGTGATGTTTGTCTGTCTGTACATCTTTGTTTGTCCGCTAGCACGAGGGTGGTGTCAATACCACTGAATCGATGACCCGCGCGCTGATTTCCGACGACCCCAACAAACATATGGGACACGTCCAACTAGGGTATGTATACTTGTGTACATACGGCACTAGTGTGACACTGACCCACCGTTACATTCGAAGTTGATTTGCAGTTGCAAAATCTAGTGACACTATCAAAGATAAAAAGGAAATGTTGTTATAACATTTTATTTGTTTAAATGCAGTTCACTGACAGAAATCTGCTGTTTTTGTGACTGCAATTCAGCTGCAATACCAAAGGAGAAATTTATGTAATACTAATGTATACGTTCAAACCTGTATTAATGTCATTTAACTGACTGATTCTTTACAAGCGTTTAGTATAACCACTTCATTACTTGCGTACGAAAGTGCGCTGAATGTTATAATCTATCACGATGTGCTCACAAAGCTGACATCTTTATTATTTGGTAAAGGTCGTGTACACATTAATGTTTTAATGTTTAAATTCGGTAGTTTACTAATCGGAAGTCAATGTGACACTTAGTGCGGTGTCATGAAACGGAGTGAGAGATATCTTGCTCTGGAAGATGGATTTGATAGAATTTCATTTATCACAATTAAAATGTGATATAATAAAAGTAAGACTGCTGACGTTGAACGTAAAACAAATGTTGACTGTAATGTAACACATGCTGTGTTGAGTGGCATTAACGGTAACAGATGCATGCTTCTTGTTGACAGACTAAATACATATATTAAAACATTAGACCATCAAATTTGCTATTAAATTCCGCAAATGAATTGAACTAGCTTTTAAATATACTTTTATTGGACTAATCCGAAATTTTTTCAATGAATTTATATCAAAATTTTGGATCGTTCCAATTATTGGTTTAGATATAAATTGTAAATTTGTCTAACATTGTGCTATTATTCCGTAGTTATCGGGATAAACAAGAATCCTTGGAATTCCTGCCTTGGTTAGTAGTGTACAAAGTTAATTTTAGCGTAGCTGGGTAATTGGTATTGTGGAGGCGGATCTTTTGTATGTGTCGCAACTGTTTAGCTTCATAGCTCAACAGAATTGAATAAAAATGGTTTCTTTTACACTTAGAGCATTTTCTTCAGTTCTGTTGTTTGGAAATACTTAATCCACATTATGCTTACTAACCTTTCACTTTGAATGTCACCTTCTTTCACAATGTCAATCTCAATGTTATATATACTGTATTATCAATGGTAATTTGGACTTCAAGAATAGATAATGGAAATAGGTGCGAAATTTGTAAATGCTGGAGAGTATTTCGCGTATCGTAGTCATGTCATTATAACTATAAGCCGTTTATCATCATATTTTATAAAGCATTCCTTATTCTATGCTGTAACAATTTTATAACTGTTATCGCTTTTAACCGATAAATGATGTGAATACGAATATGCTTCTACTTTCAAATCTGAAACCATTCTAACAGCGTCTTGGTACGAGTGTTTAGTTATTAATGATTACTTATTTCTTACTTTTGTCTCACGTTATTCATTAGAGAGCACTGACGCGCGTCCAATTGTTCAATTACTTCCAAACGAATCTTTTAAAATTTGAGTAACCTTCGATGATCAAGTATGGACTTGATAAATGTGTACACTTGCTTCGTATTTGGCACCATTTCGTCATCGTCCACGATTTGATTTGATTTGCAAGTTTTTGAAATCTTAAATTATATTTTACACATTTATGAACAGCCCAATAAAATGTTTTTTTTTTAAATATTCGATTACTTTAAGTATGTTAACTATAAACGAGGGGTTGTTTTTTATCTTTGGTCATGGTCTCGAGGGTCATATAAATTATCCAATATAAATATTAACATGTTAACTTCTTCACAATACGTTACATGCGAAGTTTTTGGGGAAATCTGACGACTGAAAAATTTGATGACTCATCCCAGCGAACAGTCTACGACGACAGTAACCTGTAACCTCAAATCATTAGGCACATCGAAGCACTTGTATCATCGAGCATTTAACCTGAATAGAGTAGTAATGTGAGCCATCCAATTCCGAAACTGATCAGTGATTTGTCACTGATAAATGGCAATTCACGCTCGCCCTAAAACAGTACCTCATCAACAAGTGATCTGTGTGTACGTCCCCCCGATACTCCCGAAAATATTCAGTTTGGTATATTAAACCCCATAATGTCGTGTTGTTCTATTCGGTGGTGTGGGAAAAAACAGCAAGACATCGAATTATAAAACATACGGAATCACGTTTCATCGGTAAGTATCAATAAACTTTGATTTTGTTTCAATTTACATCCATATAATACGGCTCAAGTTAAACTGGCCATTTAGTATGAATCACTTGGACGCTTGTCTATGCGTCTTGCTCTTACCTAGGTGTAACCAATATAAGCCATCTCATTTTATTTATTACGTGTTTACTAGTGCTTGAATCGGCCAATCAGAGCGCAGCGACCGGCGCAGCGTTTTGGCGGAATTTGTTTTCTTACAAAACAAATAACAATACCGCTCTATTTCAGGTTAAATGCTCGATGCACTTGTATCTTCGTTTGCAATAATAGTTTATATGTGTAGGCATCACTTTAACGTATCAACATCAATTTTAAACCATTATTTAAACGATAAAACAACAGCAAACTACCCCGTCAACGGTCAAGTTTCCGCCAAACTCCAACGGGGTTGTTAATATTTTTAAAGTCTTCTATGTATTATAATTTATAATATAAAAGGTATGTGTTGCCATTAGTCAATTTCAATTTGCATTAAAATACATTAGAAACGTCATTCGTTTGTACCGGTAATTAATATTCGAATTATCGTCTCGCCTTGTCATGCAATCGGTGATTAAGTGAAACAAGATCACCTTATTTCATTACAATATTATATGCATATGACATAGAGTTCATTATGTTTCATTTGAATGTGTCACTACTTATGGTATTCATTTCGTATTAAGACTTAGCAAAATTTCTACGTAACTTTAAATTGACAGTAATCATCATCGATGTATTGTTACATGTTTGACACGTAATGATGAATCGCGTACGCGTTTCGTGTTCTGTGACCTTACAGATCAGCTAACAAGACAAATGCGTGCGCGTAGCGTGGGTACACCAGTTTTAAGATAAGGAGGTGTAAGTAAGACGTCACATTTTAATTGCACCGGCTTTTAATGTTTTTTTATTGTGTAACTTACCAGTTACAAACAATTCTTTAGATTTTATTGCAACTGATTACAAATCCCACTTCTTTGTAAAGACGTGAGGTTATTTGTAGTAGACTTATGAATAAATTGCGTACGTACACGCCTATAAATGAAATTGCCGCATTGTATTAGCATTTATCACATCAGTAGCATACAGAGGAAATTGATTGACAAGCGCAGACCATTACTGACAAACTTCCACTGGCTATGCAGTCAACAGACACTGGATAGATTTTCTGCCATCAATCCTCATAAATAAAATTTAATAATGAATACATGATTGATTGATTCATTGAGAGCCGTGCTAGCTCAGAGGCTAAGCGCTCGTTGTAAATTTCACAGTACGGGAGCAACCCGGATTCGACCCCACCGGCAAGATAAAATTGTTAATTGCATTTTTAAGTGCTGATTTACCATGTGCTCGTGGTGATGGAAAACATCGTGAGGAAACTCGTATGTCTGAGAATTAATAAAATATATTTCAAAGACGTGTTAAATTCGCTAACATGCATTGGGGCAGCGCGACGGACATTTACTTGCCCTAAAACCCTTTTAGAAATGAACAGGAGGCATGTACCCAGCAGTAGGACTGCAACTGTGGGGCTATAATTTTAAAATGTCCCTAGGGAATAAGGTGATATCTACCATGTTGTTTCTTATTTTGTCACATTGAACTATATATGATATAAATTAACTTCACAATAGTTCCGCTGGGTTTCTTATTTTGTCACATTGAACTATATATGATATAAAATAACTTCACAATAGTTCCGCTGGGTTTCTTATTTTGTCACATTGAAATATATATGATATAAAATAACTTCACAATAGTTCCGCTGGGTTTCTTATTTTGTCACATTGAACTATATATGATATAAAATAACTTCACAATAGTTCCGCTGGGTTTCTTATTTTGTCACATTGAACTATATATGATATAAATTAACCTCACAATAGTTCCGCTGGGTTTCTTATTTTGTCACATTGAACTATATATGATATACATTAACTTCACAATAGTTCCGCTGGGTTTCTTATTTTGTCACATTGAACTATATATGATATAAATTAACTTCACAATAGTTCCGCTGGGTTTCTTATTTTGTCACATTGAACTATATATGATATACATTAACTTCACAATAGTTCCGCTGGGTTTCTTATATTGTCACATTGAACTATATATGATATAAATTAACTTCACAATAGTTCCGCTGGGTTTCTTATTTTGTCACATTGAACTATATATGATATACATTAACTTCACAATAGTTCCGCTGGGTTTCTTATTTTGTCACATTGAACTATATATGATATAAATTAACTTCACAATAGTTCCGCTGGGTTTCTTATTTTGTCACATTGAACTATATATGATATAAATTAACTTCACAATAGTTCAGCTGGGTTTCTTATTTTGTCACATTGAACTATATATGATATAAATTAACTTCACAATAGTTCCGCTGGGTTTCTTATTTTGTCACATTGAACTATATATGATATAAATTAACTTCACAATAGTTCCGCTGGGTTTCTTATTTTGTCACATTGAACTATATATGATATAAATTAACTTCACAATAGTTCCGCTGAGTTTCTTATTTTGTCACATTGAACTATATATGATATAAATTAACTTCACAATAGCTCCGCTGGGTTTCTTATTTTGTCACATTGAACTATATATGATATAAATTAACTTCACAATAGTTCCGCTGGGTTTCTTATATTGTCACATTGAACTATATATGATATAAATTAACTTCACAATAATTCCGCTGGGTTTCTTATTTTGTCACATTGAACTATATATGATATAAATTAACTTCACAATAGTTCCGCTGGGTTTCTTATTTTGTCACATTGAACTATATATGATATAAATTAACTTCACAATAGTTCCGCTGGGTTTCTTATTTTGTCACATTGAACTATATATGATATACATTAACTTCACAATAGTTCCGCTGGGTTTCTTATTTTGTCACATTGAACTATATATGATATAAATTAACTTCACAATAGTTCCGCTGGGTTTCTTATTTTGTCACATTGAACTATATATGATATACATTAACTTCACAATAGTTCCGCTGGGTTTCTTATTTTGTCACATTGAACTATATATGATATAAATTAACTTCACAATAGTTCCGCTGGGTTTCTTATTTTGTCACATTGAACTATATATGATATAAATTAACTTCACAATAGTTCAGCTGGGTTTCTTATTTTGTCACATTGAACTATATATGATATAAATTAACTTCACAATAGTTCCGCTGGGTTTCTTATTTTGTCACATTGAACTATATATGATATAAATTAACTTCACAATAGTTCCGCTGGGTTTCTTATTTTGTCACATTGAACTATATATGATATAAATTAACTTCACAATAGTTCCGCTGGGTTTCTTATTTTGTCACATTGAACTATATATGATATAAATTAACTTCACAATAGCTCCGCTGGGTTTCTTATTTTGTCACATTGAACTATATATGATATAAATTAACTTCACAATAGTTCCGCTGGGTTTCTTATTTTGTCACATTGAACTATATATGATATAAATTAACTTCACAATAATTCCGCTGGGTTTCGTATTTTGTCACATTGAACTATATATGATATAAATTAACTTCACAATAGTTCCGCTGGGTTTCTTATTTTGTCACATTGAACTATATATGATATAAATTAACTTCACAATAGTTCCGCTGGGTTTCTTATTTTGTCACATTGAACTATATATGATATACATTAACTTCACAATAGTTCCGCTGGGT